AAAAAAATTGTCAAATTGTTCGGATAATTTTTAGAACAGTTATATATTTTTAGTCTGCTTCCCTACTGAATCGGTAGAATGGCCGTAGGGAATAGAAGAGACTGCCGTATGCAAAAGTATGCAACAAAAATTGTTGCTGAGAATCCATACCGTTAAAGTTTAAGCTCGAATGGTAAGTTAAATTGTGGGTGGAAAAGATGAGTACCGGGTAAATGAATGTTATATATTTGGGAAACTCGACTATAGGCGTTCTTTCTTGTTTATATAAGGTTGTCAAATATCTCCCTTCCGCCTTTTTGTCTTTTGAATTTCGCGGCTATGTACAAAGCGCTACAGAGCTCGTATCTGGCAACACTATACATAATTTAAAAGGTCTTGACATAACCTACAAAACGACGCTATGCATGATTAGTTTGGATATTGCGTTCACCAGTTATAGACGTGTAAACATGGAGTTCACTAACGCCGAAATTCGCGCTATTTTAAAGTTTTCCTTCGTTAAAGGCAAATCCGCTAGAGAAACGTTCCGTGAGATTAATGGGGTTTTGGGGGATGGTACTCTATCACTTCGAACCGCGGAGGAATGGTTTCGACGATTCAGAGCCGGTGAAAACGACACCATGGATAAGCCAGCCGGCGGAAGACCTGTGACGACAAATACCGATCAAATCATGGAATACATCGAGTTAGACCGGCATGTGGCTTCTCGTGACATCGCCCAGGAGATGGGAGTTAGTCACCAAACCATTTTAAACCATCTGCAGAAGGCTGGATACAAAAAAAAGCTTGATGTTTGGGTGCCGCATGATTTGACGCAAAAAAACCTTGTGGACCGAATCAACGCCTGCGATATGCTGCGGAAACGGAACGAACTCGACCCATTCTTGAAGCGGATGGTGACTGGCGACGAAAAATGGATCACATACGACAATATCAAACGAAAACGGTCGTGGTCGAAGGCCGGTGAATCGTCCCAAACAGTGGCCAAGCCGGGATTGACGGCCAGGAAGGTTTTGCTGTGTGTTTGGTGGGATTGGAAGGGAATCATCCACTATGAGCTGCTCCCATATGGCCAGACGCTTAATTCTACCATCTACTGCGAACAATTGGACCGCTTGAAGCAGGCGATCGACCAGAAGCGTCCAGAATTGGCCAACAGGAAGGGTGTAGTGTTCCACCAGGACAACGCCAGACCACACACTTCGTTGATGACTCGTCAGAAGCTACGGGAGCTCGGATGGGAGGTTTTATCGCATCCACCATATAGCCCGGACATAGCGCCAAGTGATTACCACCTGTTCCTGTCCATGACGAACGCCCTTGGTGGTGTAAAGTTGAACTCAAAAGAGGCTTGTGAAAAGTGGCTGTCCGAGTTCTTCGCAAATAAGGAGGGGGGCTTCTACGAGGGAGGTATTATGAAGTTGCCGTCTAGATGGAAACGGATTATCGAACAAAACGGCGCATATTTCAACTAAATCGGATCACTGTAACACTTTTTATAAAGCATTGAATAAAGAGCAAAAAAGCGGAAGGGAGATATTTGACAACCTTATATCTAGAATTACACATACTTCTTAACCCGTGTTTTTATTCGAAAACTACCTCCCCTCCAAGATAATTCCTATTTTGTCTACCTTTGGTCTATCACAGTGGTCCCGACGGTGCCCCAAAAATAAAAAAACCAAAGTCAAAATTTTGACTTTAAATGTACCAATTCTTATTTATAATTGGTCTAACTATTTGAATTTATTCATCTTTTTCTTTTCTCTATCTGTCCTCTGTATGAATAGCATCAAAACATGATATTCATTGTGTATTGCAGCGTAAGCCACGTGCTCTCTGAAAAAAATAAGTAAAACTTATTTAATCCAAATAATTGTTCGATAGAATTGATTAATATTTTAAATAACTTAATAACCTTAATAAGTTAATACCTTTAACTTTTTTTTTACAACGAAAAGTATATGTAGTATGTGTTGTGTTTTGTGTAAATCATTATTGTATTTAGTACATAATTGTGAACGTTCTTAGTTTGTCTTTTCTGTGTTTGGTTAGAGTTTTTGTTGTGATGGCATTATTCTATGGCATTATTAAAAATATTTATTTATTTTATGGTTATTTTGTTAAATAAATTTATAATTTCTGTCATTATTATTCTAAGGCGAATAAGTTTCCCGGCAAAAAACTCGTTTTACACTGGTCCTATGGTAGCATAAAAATAAAAAACAATATTTTTTCATATAAAAACTGAATATAAAACCGATTGTTCATATGACAGCTGTATGATATAGTTTTCCGATCTGACTGAGTTTAACATATTATTTTAGGATAATTATAAAAAAATTTGTGCCATGTTTCAAGTCCCTACCTTAACTATAAGTATTTTTGGCCGCTCTCCCCATACAAGCCGGACCACTGTGCACTGCTTTAAAACTAGTGAAGCTACGAAAACATTCTTCATTCCATTTGAAAGGTTTATTTATTGTCCAATTTGCTTTTTTGGAGACCAAACATATAGACCAAAAATACACGGAAAATTATTTATTTATGTATTTTTATACCCTTGCAGAGGGTATTATAATTTCCGATCCTATAAAGTATATATATTCTTGATCAGGATCACCTCCTCAGTTGATATGAGCATGTCCGTCAGTCCGTCTGTCTGTCTGTTTCTACGCGAACTAGTCTCTCAGTTTTAAAGCTATCGACTTGAAACTTTGCACACACCCTTATTTCCTTTGCACGCAGTAGATAAATCGGAACGACTGGGATCGGCCGACTATATTTTATAGCTGCCATATAACTGATTGATCGGAAATGGTATAACTTCGGTTTTTTTAGAGTTAGAGAGTTCAAATTTGACTTGAGAGCTATTTTTGGCAAAACATTACGACATGCCAAATTTCATAAGGATAGGCCGACTATATCTTATAGCTGCCATATAACTGAACGATTTCCGATCGGTGGGTTTTTGGTAGAAATACCAACTTTGATATTTTTGAAGATAGAAGTTTGGGACTTTTTTTTAGATTTTGTTTTATAATAAATTGGGTTATATTATCATATTCTTATTAGGATCGGCCAACTATATCCGATGTTTGCGATATATATCCGGTTTTAACTGCAAGGGTATATCAACTATCAACCGAAGTTAGCTTTCTTTTCTTGTTTTTTTCCTTTTCTTTAAATGAGCCATAATATTCCACAATGTGACTGTAGTCATTTGAAGAGCATTGTATATGATGCTATGAGGCAAAATTAAATCAACCAAGCTCAAGTCAGCTTTTCGTTTCCGGTACTTTTAGCTTAAAAGAGTATGAAAGTCTGTTGTATTAAACGTGAGCACCTGCCATGATGGCTCAATCTCACGACCCCCTTGGGATATGAAACGATGCGTCAATCAGCGCCCCCTTGGAACTATGTTCCGCCGGATACCGACACTCAAGCCAATCTGTTCTAGTCATGGCTTGTATCCTTGGTTAAGGCTGGAGGCCTATCTAAACCTCTTCCTTCTGTGCTATACCGTTGTATAACCCAACTCCACGTCGAACCTGAAGGCTCAACTCTCATTTAGGTAGTAAACCACAACCACCACGTAGCTCCCTAAGGGGCCTCACTGGCCACGTGTTGACGACCCCGGATAAAGTAGACTATACAACTTATGTTATACTTTATAACAGCAGAAGACATTCTGACACAAATAATGCCAGCGAGACAAGATGACCCGGCCATTAAAACGGCCAAAGGTTTTAGAGAATTGAGCCGTGCAACTAAGCCACTTCGAGGACGGCTTTACCACTGGATCAAAACAATTTTCAGTTTCGAGGGGAAATCTCGCAAACAGGTACTTCCCCGCTCCAGATTTTCTGCTCGGTTGTAAAAGCGGTTGGTGCCAACGAGCACTCGGAATAACCACTGCTAAATATAGAACGCGACAAAGGATGATTGGAAGCTCTTTTCTCGTCAAGGTCTAAATTCGGGGAAGACGAAGAATTCGTTGAAGTGCTGAATCATCTCCTGTTAAATGGCCTCCTTTTTTGAGGCATTAAATTTGTAGCCAGCTCGCTTCTGAGCCAGCTTCAACAACTCCTTGGGAGTGGCCTTAAAATCCGACACCAAAGTTTCCCCTTCACCCAGTCAAAAAGCATAGCCTCGGGAACCTCCTCAACACATTTTAAAGTGGCCCGCATTCCCTCAAAATCTTTAAAAAGAACATACGGCCTCTGGCTCAAAACATGTAGCCTTCCAAAAGAAAGGGTGCATTTTCAGTACGTTTCAGTATTTATTTCATTTTAGATTAACGGTCCCAAATGCGGCGCAGCGAATTTTTTGTATTACGTATTCAATTTAGCGCAAGCTTCAGTCCCTCACTGTATGTAGAGGAAGACAATGACCGGGCATTGCAGCGGTAGAATAACTGACCAAAAAACGCTCAAGGGCACCGTTTTGAGTTCTCCAAAGTAAATTATTTCAAAGCTCACAACCAAGATAATTTTGTATGTTGTTTAAAAACACTGCTCCTTAAATTTTCTTAAATTTTTTCTAGCGAAATTCCAGAGCCAAAATTTTTGCCGATTTTCAGAAGAATTTTCTCTTCAACTGCGCGTTTTTAATAATGGGTTGCTTCTCAGAAAATATGAGAAGGGATTTTGGGCGAGATGAAAGAAAAGCGCATAAAAGCTTGACAGAGCTTGGCTCAAAGCTTGACAGAGCGTAAGAGAGTAGGACATGACGTCACAGGTAACACAGGAAAAATTTTCCGGTGGTTTCATAACTCAACACCCACAATAATAAAAATTTTATTTGCAAATGACTCAAATAAAATTTAAAAGAAATAAGTCAAAACAAAAATTTTAACGACTTTACATTTAGTCAATTTTAACGATTTTAACAAACTACATAATTTTAATCAATTTAAAGAAGACGGAGTATTTTATTTAAAAGTTTGACATTTGAAAGTTAATGGAAACAAATTTGTATGATTATTATTAACGACTTAGTAAAGTGGTAATTCGATTTTTTTTTATTTATTATTTATATACACTAACAACAGCTTTAGCCGGCTATGCCGAAAGTCCTTTAAATATTTTAAAAATATGTATAACAAAAAATTTAACATTTCAAACACAGTACATCGATTACCATTACCACTAAGAATGTTCCGTAAGAGAGGGAAGAAGCGGGTCAACTGATGCCTGCCTATAAATAAGAGTTTTGTCTGAAAAAATATTATTCACATCTAGTATTCAAAGAAGAAATCATACCTGTCCATAGATACTTCATAGGATCCGGGAGCAGAATTTGATCTTCCAGCATTGGAAAATTTTTTAAAGCGCGAGCTATACCTTTTTGGCGATTTTCCATCTTCTTCTTTTATAAAAGGATTTCCGAAAGAATGTTTTTTCAACATTGTTTTTATTAAAATGAGAGTGTCTAATTTTGGAATGCTCCTGACGACAAAGCTTAAATCTTCATCGTCTAGTTGAACCAAACAACAATTTTGTTCTTCAGTTGGCAGTGGAAATTTTCCATCAGAAGTAACCCAATTATTTTCCTAAAAACAGATAGAAAACATAAATATTGAAGAATAAGGTTAAAGTTTCTAATATTGAAACCTTAAGTTGAGGAACTGTTATTCTTTTGTTGGGGTCTTTTTCCAACATCATTAGTAAGCAGTTTTTTAACTGATCACTTATTGTAACAGTTTGTGGAAAAACAACAGAATCGTTTTTTATTTTTTCATATAAGAAAGGCACAGTCTCCCCAAAAAATGGAACGTTTCCATAAACTAGGGAGTATAATGTTACTCCCAAAGCCCAAACATCCGCTGCCTTTCCACAGTAGACATTCTAAAAAAGCAAATAATTATATTTACATGAATCAATTGGAATTTGTATTTACAAACCTGTCCCAACACAAGAGTTTCTGGAGCTCGAAAGGCAGGGGTTCCACCTGTTGTACCACTGCTAATTTTTGCCTCTTCTCCAAAAAATTCATTGCACACACCTAGATCAGCTATTTTGACGTTTCCATATTCGGTTAATAATAAATTTCCAGGCTTTATGTCTGCGTGAATAATTTTTTGGTAGTGCACTGCATGTAAATAAAACGAAAAGAAAATTTAAAATATACAACATTTTTGAATACCATATATTTAAGGAACAATTTAAGGATTACAATACAATTTACAATATTAGAAACAAGAAAGTAAAGCTAACTTCGGGAGGAGCCGAAGTTGACATACCCTTGCAAAATACGATGGGTATTTTGGTATTCTTGAAGATAGTAGAAGCTTGGGACTTTTTTTTAGATATTTTATTGTAATTAATTGGATATATTATGATATTCTCATAAGGATCGGACAACTACATCCGATGTTTGCAATATATATCCGGTTTTAACTGTAAGGGTATATCAACTTCGGCTCCGCCCGAAGTTAGCTTTCCTTTATTGTTTAAACTTACAATATTCCAAACCCAGTAATGTATCCCGTAGAATACTCCACGATCTTTCTTCAGACAATGGTTTTTCGGTTGGGATCCTTAAAACTTCGCCTAGTTTTACGAGTTCAAAAACCATATATAATGAGTCCTCAATTGGGTCGTCCAATACTTCGACCAATTTAACGACATTAGGATGGTCAAGTTTTTTTAAAACTGCGATTTCTCTGTAGACTCTGTCCAATGGAGATGTAGCTTTCCTAGGACCCCTGCGCATTAATCCAGCTTGCCGTAGTAAACGCTTTTTTGAAAGAATTTTCATGGCATAATGAGTTGAATCTTCTTCAGAGTATGCTAGTTTAACCAGACCATATGAACCCTAAAATTAAAATGGCATTGAATTAGATGATAGTTTTTCATATTTATTAGAATTAAATGTACTCTAAATTTCAAAAAAAGCACCTATAAATGAGTTTTTATTTTTTGCACGATACAACGGTTACAACTATTCCAATTACATATTTATTTTTTTTTTAACTTTTTCTTCAAGCATTTAACATGCATTAATAATGAAGCTTTTGAATAATGTTTACCAATTTATTCAACCAGCCAGCGACCTGTCTACAAACACATTTTCGATTTTGAACCAGTAATTACACGAACATTGACTGATGTAAGAGTACAAAGAGAGCAATCGAAGAAATCAAATTCATCCAAGTAGGGTGTTTTAAAAGATGGAAGGTTGGAACTTCGGATTGATTATATTTTTTGCCAAACGGATTCAGCCCGGAACTCGTAGAGTACACGGCAGAGCGTGCAAATAAATGTTGAATAATTTTTTCAATGCTGTCAATACATCGCGCATATCGCAAATGGCTAATTATCTAAAATTTACCATCTGCAATTATAAAATGATAATAAAGTATCGTTTAACGATTTATCAATGTTTCAAATACATAATTCCACAATAATTCATCTTGTACGCAAAACAAATTGACACTGAGAAATAAGTTGAAATTAACTCTGAGAATCGAGTCGTTTCAACGTTGGTTTCCAAATTGGCAATTTTTTGATTATTTGCCACCTGCTACTTGAATTATTTAAAAAACATTATGATCACCCTCCTCCCATACCTGTATCCGCCCTGGAACAAAACACTTAAAATGTTAAAAATTTGATATCTCTTTGACAGAAACACTTTCTTTTGATGTCAAACTGACTCGGTTAAAAGAATAGAAAAATCGTTCTCTATAAATCGTAACACTTTAGAAAGACACTTTTCATTACATGATTTTTATATAACTTTCTTTAAATGACTTTAAAAAAATAATTTTTTTTTGGCTCAAAAAGATGCACTTCTAGCTTAAATAAGTTTGAGGACGATTAATTCAAAATTCTGAATATTGTTATTTAACTCAAAATGTTTTCCATCTTGATCGATTTTTTTCGGATACTTTAAAATAAAAAACAGTTTTTTTGCAAGCTCTGGTACAATATATATTGTGTTCGTGTAAATGTATAGAGAAGGAATAATCTCCGGCCCCATAAAGTATATATATTCTTGATCAGCTTCAACAGCCAAGTCGATATAGCCATGTCCGTCAGTTCATATGCACGCATCGATCTCGTCTATCTATAAGAGATAGAGCTAAGGCATTTGGCACAAAGATTCCTTTGAAAGAAGAAGAAGGTTAAGATTATTTTAAATTTTTGTTCATGCCCCTCAGTCCCACACAGTCAGTACAGGAAGGTTTTTTGAAAAATTTTTAATGAAAAACTAGAGGAGTTTTTTAGAGAAGTTATAGATATTTATATACAGTTCCTATACTAAAGTATTAAAATTGTAAAATATATATAGTCGGGAAATTCGACTATAGCCGTCCTTTCTTATTATCATGTGAGTGTATGAAGCATAGAGAATGAATTATCTCGGACTCCATAAAGTATATAAATTCTCGATAAGCATCAAAAACCGAGTCGATATAGCCTTGTTCATCTGTCCGTCGGTCTATCCCTATGAACGCATGGATCTCAGAGACTATAAGGCTTCGACCACGCATCGAGCGTTGAGCGACGTTCTCTCGAGCGACGTAAAATATTAAAGCTTATGAGAGAGCATTAGAGTGGCCACGCAGCCGCTGTGCGACGAGCGAAGTTCTTGAGCGACGTCGCTCAGCGCTAGAATTGGTTTTAATTTGTAGTGCATCGCTGAGCGACGAAATGCAAAACATACCTAAAATATGCGCGGAAATTTTAATTTCGGCTGTTCAAAGCCGCATCGTTTTATGAAACGACTCGAGCGACGTAAAATACTAAAGCTTATGAGAGAGCATTAGAGTGGCCGCGCAGCCGCTGTGCGTCGAGCGAAGTTCTTGAGCGACGTCGCTCAGCGCTAGAATTGGTTTTAATATGTAGTGCATCTCTGAGCGACGAAGTGCAAAACATACCTCGGCTGTTTAAGCCGAATCGTTTTATGAAACGACTCTCATAAATAGTAAAAATTAAAACGCCTTTGTATTATTTTTAATTGTCTTTTTATACCCTTGCAGAGGGTATTATAATTTTGTCCAAAAGTGTGCAACGCAGTGAAGGAGACATCTCCAACCCTATAAAGTATACATATTCTTGATCAGGATCACCTCCTGAGTTGATATGAGCATGTCCGTCTGTCTGTTTCTACGCGAACTAGTCTCTCAGTTTTAAAGCTATCGACTTGAAACTTTGCACACACCCTTCTTTCCTTTGCACGCAGTGTAAAGGTGTATAAGTCGAAACGACCGGGATCGGCCGACTATATCTTATAGCTGCCATATAACTGATTGATCGGATATGGTATAACTTTGTTTTTTTTTAGAGAGTTCAAATTTGACATGAGAGCTATTTTTGGCAAAACCTTACGACTTGCCAAATTTCAAAAGGATCGGCCGACTATATCCTATAGCTGCCATACAACTGAACGATCGGAAATGACCCAACTTTCGTGTTTTTGAAGATAGAAAGCTGGAATTTAGTACAGATTCTATTTGTGGTCAGTTAATCCGACCTACCAAATTTTATAACGACCGGTTCACTATATCTTATAGCTGCCATATAACTGAACGATCGGAAATGGTTTTTGGTAGAAATACCAACTTTGGTATTTTTGAAGATAGAAGTTTGGGACTTTTTTTAGATTTTGTATTATAATAAATTGGGTTATATTATCATATTCTCATTAGGATCGGCCAACTATATCCGATGTTTGCGATATATATCCGGTTTTAACTGCAAGTGTATATCAACTTCGGCTCCGCCCGAAGTTAGCTTTCTTTTCTTGTTTTACTATAACCGTTTCGCTCTGTCACTCCGTCGCTTTTCGCTCGAAGCGTGGCCGAAGCCTAAGAGATAGAGGTAAATGATTTGGCACGGAAACTCTTAAATGGTCACTCAGTTGAAGTTTATTTCATATTTTTGCTACGCTCCCTCCCGCCTCCACAAATTGCAAATTTCTGTAGCGCTAGTACTGGAACGTTTTTAGAAAAGATTTTGATTCAAAACTTTTTCAATAACTGATATATATCTGAAACATAAATTTTATCCGAATTGGCCGATTTTTTTTTTTCTTTTTTCGAGGTTTTTCAGAACTTGAAATGGCTTGTGCATCGATTAGAGCATCAGCTAGTATTTCTGTATTCATTATAAAGATTACAGGCGCTCGAGAAAGGAATAATTAGTAATATTAAGCTAGTTGTAATATAATAAGCTAGGAGGAGTTAGTAAGGAAATGTAAAATTCTATACTTTAAATTGAAGGACAGGAGAGATAAGTTATAGTGTAGAGACCATTGTAGTTTCAACATAAGACCCGAAAAGCTTCGTGTTGTGCATTTATCAAACTGCAACGGCTAAGGAATAGAGGACTAACGTTTCTGTCCTACTATTAGGAATGTTAAAATTTAAGCGTGTTAGTAAATGCTGGCTATCTATATCCCCATTATTTAGGTTATGCAGAAAAACTACACCGAGCATTGTCCTACGATTTGTTAAGCTAGGTAAGTTTATAAGTAAGAGTCTACTATTATAAGATGGAAGGTGAAGATTTGCATCCCAATTTAGCAGGGACCGTAATTGTTATAATTTTTAAAATAAAAATTAAAAAATAAAAATTATTTGTTGATTTTTATGACAAAAATTGAAATATAACTCTTATTTTCAATTTTTATAATAATAATTAAGAATAAGAATTATTTTTCAATTTTTATAAAAAAAATAAAAATAAAAATTATGATTCAATTTTTATTAAAAAAATTGAAAATAAGTGTTACGATTCAATTTTTATTATAAAAATTGAAAATAAAAATTGAATGCGAATAACTTCTGAACCGAGTGGACTATTAAAAAACCGCTTACATTTTTATGATCTGTGGCGCAGTACCTTTCAAATGATGTATCGAATGTCCTTAAAGGACATAATCAAGGATTCCTCAATTATTCAATTTATTTAGTTATATTTCTAGTGTGGGTCAACAGGGGTATATTGGGAATCAATGTCCAATACTATCGAGACCACCGCATTGAAATCACGCTTGGCGTGATTGCGCTCCATGAAGCATGAAACTTGAAAATGTGCTAAACGAGTTTTTAATAAAAAAGGAGCAGGTCTACACTGTCACTTCAGACAATGGCAAGAATGTCATTAAAGCGATCGACTTCATGAACAAAGAATTGAATTCTGAATTTTGTGACGAGTTTGACGATGACGACCTTATAAAAGATATTCGCGTTCACTCTATACATTCGATTAGATGTGCCGCCTATTCCATGCAATTAGCTGTTCATGACCTGCTAAAAGAGAGGAGTCGGAGATTCCTTGTCGATAGCGCACGATCCATAATAAAAACTTTGCGAACTCCGACTTATAGGTAAACAAATTAAATGCATAACATTACACTTAAAAATTACAATACTATTTTAAAATTATGGATACATACCCCAACCTCTCCTGGATGTGCCAACAAGGTGGATCTCAACGTACACTATGTTGAGTTTTCAATAGAAAATCTAAGTGAAACTGCAGTTAACGGAATCAAATTGGGAGGAAATTAGCTTGCTGTTGGCGGCACTAGAACCTATTTTTATAGCCACTCAAAAATTGCAAAGCGAACAATTATATTTCGGCGATTTTTGTAAGCTTTGGCTTGAAACGAATTTAATACAACATATATTTTAATATACAAGTAATCGAAATAATTTTAAGAAACTCGGTGTGTACTTTTACATGGTTGGCCCACACTTGAAAATTTCTAGTAGAAATATAACTAAATAAATTGAATAATTGAGGATTCCATGATTAAAACATTTTTAGGACCTGTTTTTTTAATAAAGAGTAATATTGTCATTG